ATTTTAAAATAATTATTTTACTTAATTATATAAGTTTTTATGTTTCATAGTTTTTTTTAATTTAATTTTTTATCTCATACTTTGAATGATAACATTATTTTTATATTAATTGTATTAAATTTAAATAATACTTATTATTTATTATGTCATCCGGTTCGACCCCGGTTAGACCGGTCGAACCGTGAACCTCTCCTTGTTCCGATTCGTTGTCCGATCCGGTTTTCAAAATCTTGGTTTATATTGAGATATTTGAATTTTTTTAAAATATTTTAATTTTGAAATTCATTAAAAAAATGGAGTTTTGTCAATGGTTGCAGCCCCACATCTTGCCACCACCATCATCATCAGCTATCATCAAATTTAAAATATCATTTTATTTTATAAATAACTAAAGATCAAAAATTTTATTTCTAAATTTCATCCACTATGAAATATTTCAAATGTATGATTTTTTCCCCTCTTGTAAAACGAAGTACTCTGTCATTACAGTGAGAATTAGAACATGAAGGAAACTTAACGACTAATGACTCCAAACTCACACATAAACGTCCATCTGTCTCGACCAATTTAAAGATTATCCGGTTCCCAAGAGCTAGACCGGTTCAAAGATGGCCCGACCCGGCACGCCCAATCTCTTCGTAAAACACTTTCTTAAACCTCTCCATATTCTCCACCTCCATCGCGATCAACACCGACAACCCTCCCTCCGCCTCCTCCGGTGAACTCGGCACAATATAAACCAAACCACCAAACTGCAAACACGCCCTTCCCATATAAATCGGTTTGCCCCACCCAAAATCTGCCTCATAGATCGGCAAACCCAGCCAACTAATCACCCAAAGATCCGTCTCCGGCATCACCCAAGCCCCTTTCCTCACCCCAGCCTCATCCACCTTCTCCTCCAAGTGATCGATCAACGACCTGACAAACTCATCGTCAATCCGCTTCGTAGTGGCATCAATCTTTGCCGCCGCTCCAAAGTCCGATATTTCCCTAGCTGTCGCCTCCGCGGACACGCGGAAGATGGCGTTTCCGAGGTAGCTAGCGGGAAGAGGCGGCCGCAGGCGGGATCGGGCGTCAGCGGTCATGTAGAGTCGGGTCGGTATTGATGGTTCGAGCCCGCGGGCCTTGCAGGCGGAGCGCCAGATGTGGGAGACGACGGCTTTGAAGGTGGAAAGAGGGCGTTTGGGACTGGTTTTGATGAGCGAGAGATTGTGATTGGAGAGTTTGAGGATGGCGGAGGTGAAGGGAGGGTGAGTGGAGGAAGGAGGGAGATGAGATTGGGAGTATTCGATGTGGGAGCAGGTTATGGATGGAGGAGAGCGTGCGTGCAGGAGGGTGCGATTAATGGTGGGGGGGATGGGGATGTGGGAGTTGGTGTTGGTGATTCTTGCCCACGAGTTTACAAAGTGGAGGGCTCCGAGGCCGTCGGCTGCGGTGTGGTGCACCGCGGCGCCGAGGCAGACGCCGCCGCACCGGAAGAAGGTTAGCTGCAAGTTGGACCGTTGGAAATTTGAATTAGGATAAAAATTGCGGAAAAATATTAATTATATTAGAAAATTTTGAAACTGTTTGTGTAGGCGCCAACGCAATTTGAAAAAAATTTGGGCCTAATTACATTTCTCTTACATATTTGTTAAACATGATAGTATAAATAATTTTTTAAAAGATTGCTCAATCAATTTTCACTAAATTTGTGATAAGTCTCACTATATTATATTCATCTTAAAATAAATTTAAAATTCATTTAATAAAATATTTATTTAATTCATATATAATACATTGAAACATCTACGAAATTTACAAATATTACATAAATTTGCACTTTTGTTAATAACATAATATTATCAAGGGGATTTAGCAACATTTTAAGGAGAATCAGAGTTTGTGATAACATTCAGAGGCGTGTGAAGGATAATAAGAGTTTGTGATGAACTGGAATCAATGATTAATGAAATCCAATGACATAAAAAAAAAGACGAGAAGTTTGTGATGAGATCTCTCACATGAATGAGTTCAAATTAATTTTGAAAAGCTTCAACTCCAATAATTAGCACACAAATAAAAAAAAAATCATCTCTTATTGATGGAATGCCATCTAAAATAAAATTTTCAATATATTTCTCCAGACTAAAATATAAGAATATTTTTTTATTAAAAATATATGTATTATAAGGCATATGAAGTCAAAATGTTAAAACTTTTATTGGGAGTATTAAATGAGCAGAAAAATCCCAAGAAATAAAAAGAAAGTTTTGTTCTATATCAAAGTTGATTTTAGATTTACATGATAAATTCACTTTGACCTATCTTATGAAAGATAAAGATAGATTTAAAAAATTCGTTAGAAATTATTAAAAATGATATATTTTTTAGATTTAAATGAGAATTTGAGTCTTAACAGAATTCATAAAGAAAAAAGATTCATTTAGTGGTACGTGATAGGAGAAAGTATTACGTATGGACATCGGATGTAGAGCTATGTCCGGACTTCAATAAAATATGACGCATGAACTAGTATATTATTAGGTATTTCTATGTATTAATGTGTATTTAGTTTTATATTATTGTGTATTGTTATGTACTAGCTAATACAAAGCTAAATACACATTAAAATATAGTAATACTTAGTCCACGGACTTGATGTTGTTCGTGATGATGATAATGATGATGTATGGAAGTCATTCTTATTTTTCATCTAAGTTGGGAAAAAACTCATATAAAAATTTATAATATCCAAATTACTTTTAATAAAGATTTCAATGAGGGATTTAATTCTTGTGAGATTATATATGTATATAATTAATTACTCTCAATATCCTAAACCCAAACGATCGATTTATCAAAACTTTATATACATATAAAGTAGAAGCAATCCACAATGAGCTCACCTGGAACATGACAAGCGGCGGATCAACCGTATCAGCGCTATCAGCGAAAGGAACAAGTAGCCGCCGGATCTCATCGGAGGGAGCGAAATCCCCAAAATCATCCACTGACGCTTCAGATCGAGCGACGACAAAGAGGGCGCCCTCAGCTGTGCATCGGATGCAAAGACGACCGTCGGCGCCGGGAACTAGGCGGCCGGCGAGAGGGTAGAATGGGACGAGCGTGCGGGCTAGAGCGGCCTTGAGGCCTTCCGGCGAGAAGAATCCGGCGTCATCGAGGGGGCGGCGGTAGAAGTAGACGGTGGGGGTGTGGGCCCGCGCAACGAGAAGGTCGAGGTTGGAGAGCCAGATCTCCTCCGCCGGAGTCTCCTCGCTCGGAATCACTAATCCCTTCTCCAGGATTTCGATCGGCGGATAGCCCCCCATTTCCAGTTTGCTTTGGTGGAAGACTCCTCTTTCAGTATTTATTTCTTGTTTCATTTGCTTTACTTAAATTAACAATATAAAACTTGCTCTATTTTGCTTAAATTATCTTCCCGAATTCAAGTGAGGCAACTTCCTCTCAACTACACCCCGAATTCATGACAATCACGTGATTACTTAAAAAAACATTACGAGCTGTACAGAATACAGAGTTTTTTTTTTCTTAACAGTTCTTTGTTGCCATAACTGCTCTGTCATTTTGAAAGAATGAAATAACACTACTTAAATTTAGATACCCTATAAGTGATAAATGACAAAAGTAAGGCATGAATATGCCAATTTAAGTGGGTTGATTAAAGAAGTATAGCAAATTGATAGATTATGTGCTAAATTTCTTTATTTTGGTGAAACCACCGGCCGGAAATTACATTTGGTCTCTTGGCATAATACATGTAAACCAATTGATGTGGGAGGCCTCGGTTTGCCTTCCTTGCAATCTTTTCAATTCAGTTTTAACTTTTAATTGCTCACTCATTGTGAGAATCTACAATTTTCATAGTCCTCTGGCTATGTGGTTGTTTAACTCGTATGTTTCTCCTTGGAAGGATCATGTCTCTAAAGCATCCAAATTTTGGAAATGTGTTTGTAGGAATGCTAAGGTTGCTAAAGAAAAATTTCATTTCAAGATAACCCCATACTCACATTTATCCCTTTATTGGGATCACTGGTTTAATGATAAATGTTTACATAAAGTTTTGGAGGTACAACCCATTATTGGCAGTTTTCCTGTTAATGAAAAACTCTCTGTTATTCTGAATGAAAATGGGTGGCTTTTGCTTGCCATCTTACCAGATGCTGCTGCCCGTGCTATATATGCTATCCCTGTGGTTTTGGATTCTCCTGTTATTCATTCTGTTAGGGGATAGTAAGATTAGTAATCATCGAGCTTACAGGGAATATTTTTTTATAGATTATGCTAAAGTTAATTGGTATCAATTCGTTTGGCATAAACGTTTTGCTCTGAGGTACTCTTCCTTCTATTGGATGGCCATTATTGGGGGTATTAATACTGTTGATGTTCTTATTGCTAAGGGTATTATGGTGGATGCTATTTGCCCTTTATGTCATTGCTCAAATGAATCTGCTTCACATTTATTCTTCGAATGTGACTATTCTTTCTCTGTTCTATCTAACCTTATGAGTAATTTGGGGTATCTTCTGCTTAGGCCAAATATTTTACAAAATTTTGAGTTTATTGTTGAGATGCAAATTGAGAACAAAAAATTTTACTGCCTCATTATTTGTTGCTCGGTCTATCATATTCAGAGAGAAAGGAATGATAGGAGGTTTAGCCACATTTCAGTATCTTCTACTACCTTAGCTCTAAAGATAAAAGCTGTTGTCTTTACTAAGGTCATGAAATGGAAAAATGGGTTTCTGTTGTTGGTTTTGCTATAAGATATTGTTCATTTTGCCAGTACTGCTTTGGCTGGATTCTCTGCTAGTTTTCTTGGTAGTCTCTTGGCTGGGTTGACTGCCTTGTGATACTTCTTCTGCAGTTTTCGATTCTCAGTTAGTTTTTTTTTACTGAAGGGCAAGGATGATCGAATTGCTTTTTTCTCCTTTGGACGGCAGTTCCATACCCTTCTCTTCTGCAACCAGGTTGAGAGAGTTGCAATTCCTGAGCCCGGTGGTATTTTCTTCCCTTACTCCCAATTTGGGTTTATTTTTGTGGACAGTTTTTCCGTTCAGTTTGCTAGTTTCATTACTATGTTATTTTCTCTTGTAATGGGGTTTTTTGTCTATAACCCTTTTGTTTTGGGTTGTGCTTTGCATCATAGGTTTTTTGTTTCAGCTTTTTTTATCTTACATGTAACTAGTTGGCATCAATGAAAAACGGCTGTGCCCATATTTTTCCCAAAAAAAAAATGCAAGTTCTAGTACAATGCTTCTTATTGCTCAAATAGAATTTCACAATTTTGAATGCTCAAGGTGTTTTAAAGGCCCCATTTAAAAAATATATATTATGAGAACCAGAGTGCAAGAATTTATATACTAGCATAAGTCTTAAGTGCAAAATATGGATTAGGTGACAATCAATAGACACATAATCCCTAGTGTTTGTTGTTGATTACAAGTGATTTCCTTCATCTGGGAAAGGCGTTGGCTAAAAGTAATAAATATAAAACACATTATATAGTTGGAGTTGGAAGAATCCAATTATATGAGAGGTGTTTGATGGACCGGTTCACCCGGTCCATCCTAGACCCGTGCGGGTCTATGGGAGGCGGGCGGACCGGCTGGACAAAAAGGGGCCCACCCACTTAAGTGGGGGTAATTTGGGGATGTGAGGGACTTTTGGATTGTATGAAGGGGGCCATTAGGGTTTAGTTGGAGGCATGGCCCACCCACTTAAGTGGGGGTAATTTGGGGATGTGAGGGACTTTTGGATTGTATGAAGGGGGCCATTAGGGTTTAGTTGGAGGCATTATGAAAAGCGTATTCTCTTTCTAGTTTTCTTCTTCTAGTTTCCTTCTTGTTCTTTTCTAGGGTTTTCTTGTGGGAGATCTTGTCCTTCTCGAAGTGGACAAACTTATCTTGTTTTCTCTTGGCTTTCTAATGCAAAGGTTCTTGCTTTTCATCTCAACCCTCTTGTGATTGTTTCTCTTTGCTTTTGGTGGAGAAATTCCTCATTTTTGGGGGAAATTAGGGCAAAACCGAAATTGTGGAACCCTAGGGCATATCAAATAACTATTCTTAGTTTCCCAACTTTCCTTTAATTTATAACATGTAGAAGCCACATCGTTGAAATATTGCCAAATCTGATCCACTAATTTAAACGATATTGTTCAGTATCTTGTTTATGTATATAGAGACTAGCCTACATTGTGAGCTTCTTTGATGAAGTGATCTCGGAGAATGTCTCTTTTTCAGTGTTCGATTAACTTGGACTATTTTGTTGATTTCTTTTTATATGAAAATGCTGACTGGATTCAATGATTCACTTGTTTATATTATTGTCGTTCATGTGTACTTTTTTACTGCAAATAGTCTCATCGTTTTTTAATTGCAAGCCATCCTTGACTTTTCACTGCAGGATGCTACTTCTTATGAGTACACATCAATGAATAATTTGAATGAATCCAAAAATGGTTTTTGGGGTGTTCTTGCTAGAAAAGCTAAAAGCTTTCTTGAAGATGATACTGCGGCTCAGAAACTTGAAACATATGAAAGAGAGCATCCCAAGATGGTTGATAAGAAGTCTGTTAGACAGGTAAGAATCATACGACTCCCTCATTAAATCACTTAATCATCTTAAGCCAAATGACTCAATTTGATCAAATTGATAAGCACCTTAGGTAAGTTCATTACACTCACATGGAGTCAATTTGACCCTCAATTTGACTCAATGGGCACAATTGGTCCACTTGACGTGATATGAACCAACATTAAACCCATTTTAACCAATTGAGCCAAATTGACCAGATTTGCTCATTTGGTCCCAATCAAGCCTTTTATTAGACACCCTTATGAGATTATCACATGCCTTTACCCATATGACCCAGTGTCCCAAGTTTGATCAACCCTAAACCCAAGTTTAGTTAATCTTGAACTTATTTGATTCCACTAAAACCAATTGATTCCCAAACTTCAAATTTGCTAACCCGATATACCTAGAGCCTCTAAGAGGAATATATATGAGTGACTGCACTTTTCAAATTGGGTTAAAAAATCATACTTGACCTAATTATGTCCAATTGAACCAAACCATCCTTAGCAGTTAGCATTGTAATTGACTAAGCTACTTGAGTGAGGTGAGTGCTTATAACCTAGGCTAATCTAATCAGAAAGTTAACCCAATATTAGGCTACTTAAACATGGGTCAAGGGTAATTAATGAGGGATTAAGTCATTTCAATGGAGATTAAGCAAATCCAAATTTAGGCCTAATTATGAAAAATCAATTATGGCAATATTTATGTGAAACAAAATTTTGGACATATTTTTGAAAACATAGGATTTGGCCTAATTAGGAAATTTCCCATGAAGCTATCATGATTTCCTTAGCGCAAGAGTGCATTCAGTTTATTTCCTCCATCAAACAAAAAAATCCTTATGTCTCGGCCTAAATCTTTGCCTTCCTCGTGAAGAACTCTCTCGCCGTTCGTTGCCAACTAGCATTTCCTCCCTTTTCCAAGAATTTTTTTTTTGTTCGTCTTGATTGTTACTTTGCAAGATTTCAGAAGCCATTATAGAGAAAGAGACTAACTTGAATGAACTTTCTTTTGTATTTAAAGGGACGGCTTTCTTACTGCTTCATAAAGCGATTTTTTAGTACAAAAATTAAAATTTTTATACTAAAAAGTTGCTTTAAGAAGCAGAAAGGAAGTTGTCCCAAACAAAACCTAAATATTCCATGATTGTTTCATTGCCTCTTGGCTCAATTTCTCATTTTTTCTAGCCTCGTTGGTGCTTGTAATATTGTAATATTTGATGGGGGGAGGAAATATTGGCATCTTGAATAATGTTAAAGAATTAAATTGAATTTGGCTCATAGCCATTCTTAATGGTTTAAAATCAAAATTTTGATTGTTTTGAGGCAGATTAACGTATTTGACTCAAATCACTTCAACTTTTTTTATATGACCTCATTATGCTTATTTAGAGGAGTACTCCACCCCCTCAATCCCTTTATTTGTTTGTCAAAGATAGGATTAAACAATTTACTTTCATAAGATGACATGAAAGTTATAGTGACTCAAAATGAAATTTCTAAAATCACATAAACCACTAGTTTCCATGTGTTAAAGAGAATGCGTGCGTATGATTTTATATTTGGAGTTCGTTACGTCAAACTTGAAGTAGCATCACAAGCCACTTATTTCAGTTAAAAAGAAAGAGCGAGTAAGATTTTTTATTTGGAGTTCATAATATTGAAATTTAAATAGTGTGATGCTTCACCTATCATGAGGTGTTGAGTAATAAGGCCCATGAATTTTACATGAAAAAAAAATGTTAAAAAATTAATATTGTGAGAAAAGTTAAAATAAATTACAAAATGCAAAATCTCTAATGATATTATTTATAATCGAAATAGATGTATAAATTCAAGGAAAAAAAAGGCTCTCATGAATGATAAAGAAAAATATCCAAATACCTTATGGTTTTAACCCTCTTAAAAATGTAGCATACCTTAGAAATCAATTGCCAATAGTAAAAAAGAAACCCCCTCATTATAGAATCATATACATAAGGTTTTTTTGATACACCGACCTTTATGATGATGAAGGTTGTTGCTAGTCAATTGCAATGGTGAAGATTGCATTGTAGGTCCAATTTTAGTCTTTGACAATATATTTGATGCAAGGGAGACCAAAGCAAGTTAGGCCTAAGACTTTGAGAAAAAAGAGAATGGAGGAGGACAAAGCAACAAGGGAGTCTTGGCAAAGTGAGTAGGGAGTCAGATATGAATGTGAGTCACACAATGTGTGGGAGATGAAGGCGAGCCAGAATTGGCTTTCAATTTTTTGGCAGGCTTATAGGAGAGGAATTAATTCGATATATGTATTTAACTCTTAATGTGAGGTATAGTAGTAGACGAATCAATTTAAATGATTCAACTCTTTAAAAGATTACAAAAAATAATAATTTATTTATATTTTTATTTAAATAGATATAAAAGTTCTTAATAGTAAGTTAAAAATTAATTATTTGATAAATTAACTTAATTCAAATTATCCCATGGGATTGTCACCCAGGGAACACCTTGAACTTTATCATTTATCATAATATGTCCTGCCTATGTTTCTATCTCATGACCACACACAATCGAAATGGTAATGCTCAATACATTGTCTTTTGAGATTAGAATTACTGCTAAGACAACGCGACCATGTTTGTAGAGCATTTCGCCATGGCATTTGAAGTTTGGATGGCTTGCTGGATTCCTGCTAAGTTCTATGGAGATGCTGGAGCTCCTTAATTGGTTGTTGTTTTTGTTCTGAGTTACTCTATAAGCTCACCGCAAATATTTCAGGACAGAGTTCTTTCCGATAGCCAATTAACATCGGAGTTCTGCCCGACCACCCAACATTGTCAAAATTCTGATTTCTGTTTGTAACTGAATTTCAACCTGAAAGTTGTAATTTGATCGTCCTCAATTTCAGGGATGAGTCAGCCACTTGTAACTTAAGCAAACACTAGTGAAATCTTTTTAATTGGGAGTGGCACCGTGATTTTTTCCTTTCCAGGATTTTTCACGTAAAAAGCCTGGTGTTACATTTTTTTCTGTTTGTGTGCTGGATATCCGTACAAAGCTGTGACGAAAATTTTCTAACTCTATCGTCGCGTATAATCTAGCCCGCAACAAAGCTTATGAGGCATGGTGTTTTTTAGCTCATAAATTCATGAAATAGCATTCACGAATTTGTTTGTGGAGCTCTGCTTTTGATGGTGAATTCATCGCCTAGTGATTTTAGTAGGAATTATTTGTTTTTTCTGGAGTTTGGAACAACTTGATTCATGAGTTTGCATATGCCCTTTTGGTCGATTTGATTACTAAACTGAGAGCCGGCAAATATTGACATCATTTTGTCATTGTTTTGTTATGATGTATAGTTTTTGCACATTGTGGATGCTTCTTGAGTCTTGAAATTTAGGTTTCGTTTGGAACGGCTTTCTTATTGTTTCTTAAACCAGTTTTTCAGCACAAAAATTTTATTTTTAGTATTAAAAAGTTATTTTAAAAAGCAGTAAGAAAGCCATCCCAAACGAAACTTTAGTTTTGAGTTGAAGAAAAATCTATGAATTTTTTTCCTTGTTACAGCATGGCGCCAAAGTTGATTTTGGAGGCATCAGTATCCATTGTGAATGGTTTGCCAAAGTAAGGAAAAATTAATGATGATGCTTTCGGCAAGAAGCAATTTAGGCTTTTAAATGCCTATTTAGTTGTTGATGTTCAATGGAAGGCTTCTTTTTGCTTCTTGGTGCTTAAAGGCGTGGTGAAAGCAGTGAAGTTGCTGTAATATCAAACAAGGTTGAGAACATTTTGGGTTCTTTTGAGTTATTGCCAGTTTCACAAACACTTCGACAATGACAAACTGACCTTTAACTTCTTTCCCATGGAATGGTACTTATGGTTAGACAAGACAAGATGCTTATCCTCCTAATTGGGTTCCCGCTTGCTCGTCGCAACTGCTGATTTATTATTCTGTGCGAAGTTCGGACGGCGTCTAGAGACCAATAAAAATGCCCCACGTCATTCCAAAAATGTACTGCGCTCGGTACCGAGCTCCGAACCGCTCGATACCGAGCGTGTAACCGGATGGTTCTCTTGTCCGGTGTCCGCACAGAATAATAGCTCCAACTGCTCAGTTCATCCGAGTATCGCTACCTTCACAGTAAACTCGCCAAATTCATGAAATACTCTACAGTGCATCTCAAGGCACGCCTCAGATCAATTTAATTCAATTTTAAAGAGGCTTAAGATTTGATTCGGATAATATTTAAGTTTTAATTTTTAAACATCATATTTAAATTTAACATATTTACTATATCTAACACAAACTAAACTTGAGAAGAACTGCACGACCTCAAATTTGTAGTCGCAAGACTCTCATACTCGCACCCCCATGATCTTGCTGCGTTGCCACATTGCTATGTCGTCGCCTGAATTGCAACGTTAGTTGTTTCACCTTCAACGTCTCTCCTTTTGTTGTAAGAAACAAATTTTCTTATTTTTAGTATGAGAGAGAAGAGAAAGTAATTAACTATAATGATGAATCTAATGAAGACTCTCTAAGTGCTAAAGAGTGGGGGGTGACATTTGAATTTATGAATCATGATATTAGATTATTATTTTTATGTTGAAGTGGGAATGAAAGAGTATTTGTTTAGCATTATTTATAGTTTTGTATGATTTTTAATGGTTTTGTATTATTTATAGTAGATGCCAGTACTACAACAACAACAATAATATCAATCTTTTATCTCACTACGTGGGGTCAGCTACATGGAATTTTTTCATCCATTGTGTTTTTTGAATGAGAATTTCATTTTTTCTAGTGTTTTGATAAACTTTTTGATATTTGCTTCTCAATTAGAAAACTTCATTCATTTGACTAATGTTTCTAAAACTATCTTTTATAAAAGAAAAGGAAGAACCAAATGAAGCCTAAGAGTCAAATTCTTATTTAAATCTAATAACAAAAATGTCATTTCTAATATTTTCTAACCAATTCTTTTTAGGTCAATCTCTACCTTTTTTAACATAGACAAAATCTAATACATGACACCGGAGCTGGGACGTTAATTGTATTAAACTTCAGGCTATATTAAGTCCATTTGATAGTTATAGGGCTATAGAGGTGAAATGCTTTCTTATTAATTTTGTATCTAGCCTATTATGATGCTTCCTTTTTTGCTATAAATAGGTAGTCAATGTTTGTAATAAGATAGATTTTGAGATATGAATAATATTTGAGTAATTTTACTCTTTTTGGGTTTTCTGTATCCTGAAGGATTTCAGGTGGTGATCCCTCTCCTCTGAGAAGTTCTTGGAGTTATCCGGCGACCGCCACCGGATCGTCGACGTGGATTCGTCAAGCCCTTTCCGGTCCGGTGTCAATACATCTACTCTTCTAACCTCTACCTTTATTAACATAGGCCAAATGTAATATATCTACTCTTTTAACAGGGTCAGCAGAAGGCCGATGTTTTGTGTGTCCAAATCATTTAAGGCGACTCTCTATGATTAGAGCTTCTCTTTTAATGACCAACATTCTGGCTCCATAAGCATGGCCAGTCTTACGACTTTTATTAAAATTTCAGTGCTGTATAAAAAATATTTTAGGTCGGTTCAATGTTATTGTATCTAAAAATGTTATTATTTTCTAGATTTTGATTCAATTCACATGTGTCAAGATTATCTCCTCGTTATTGAGAAATTGTCTTGAAATGCTTCGGCTTCACATGACCTGCAAGGAAGAAAGATAAAAGGAAAACAGAGAGCAACATCGAGAGATAGGAGGAAAGCTTCTCTTTTTACTACTCCTTCCTGTGGCTACAGGAGATATATAAATACAAAGTGTAAACTGATCCCAACGGTTGGATCAAGCAGTTAATCTGTCACGACCCGACCCGAGACGAGACGGATCCCGCCCGTGCTGGATCGCGACGGAGCTGCACTAACCAGGATCTAGCTTTGGAATTTGGTTCGGAACTGAATCTTCCAAATAATTAATTCACACAGACTAACAAACACAGAGCTACTATGTATCATCAAATGCAGCGGAACAAAACATCTATCCAATTTCATTTCCTCAAAACAATCATCTACAGAACAGTACATGGCTTTCGACAGAAAGAAATACAGAACAGAAAAGCCATGACTGTACAAAAAAAATCAAAAGTACAAAAGTACCTATACTGATCAGACTCTGAACTAATCCTGAACTTCCTTGCCCTTCCCAGAACCTGAAAACCACCAGAAAGCAAGGGTGAGCTCAACAGCTCAGTAAAGCAACAAACCTCCAATCAAAATCCTCAGAATCTCAAAACCAACACAGCAGACAAATTCGTACAGAATCGAAACAGATTCGGACAGATATCAAATCAACAAAACTGTACGGAAAAGGAAGTTGTATCAAATCAGAAACATAACAGATCAGACACATCAGATCAACAGAATCAAAATCGTACAGATCATATCGGAACAGAACAAATCATATCGGAATCATATAGCAGATATCAGATATTTAATTAATAGCTAAATTCCCTGACACTGACTGAATCTCATAGGATCCAGGCCACTTATGCCTCCCTTTGTGCTCACGGCACCAAAACAGATCAGATCAGATGTGCTTATAGCACCAGAATACATATATAGTGCATATAGCACCTAAACAGATTGTTTCCTCGGATCCGGAACAGAACAGATATCAGATTTCATATTGAGCTCATTTCAGAATTCCCAGACACTAACTGAATCTCATAGGATCCAGGCCCCTTATAACTCCCTTTATATAGCATATACAGATAGCATATCAATTCAGAAGATTTCCGGACAAAACAGAAATTACTCAAAAATCGGGCAGCACAACGGCAGTATACAGAATTTACACAATTTTCCTGAAAATCAAAATTCACCAAATTCGCACAGAATATAGATATCAACATTTTAGAACATTTATTCTACTGCACAGATAATTTCCAAGTTCACAGAAAAATCCAGTCGACTAAAAACACAGTCGAATCAAAAATACCCGGACAAAAATCTAAAAAAAATAACCAAAATGTGCACACTCGGCACTTCAACAAAATACAGAAAGTTACGCGGTAGAAACTAAACCAGTCGGAAATTACGGACGAAAATCGCGAACAAAACTTAATTCCGGACAGATAATACCGCCAAACTCGACGGTTCTGAAAATTGAGAAAGTCGGATTGTGCCTTACTTTGCGTACAGCAATTTCCTCAACAGTCTCTTCGGACGAAAACAGCTCGGCGTCGCCCGAAAATCCACTTTTCCACTTTTTCCTTCGTTTTTCTCTCTCCTCAACTTTTTCTCTCTCTTCAAAATATCTCATTTCTATATATATCCAAACTGATCGTCCTGGACGATCGAGCTTCGTACCGGACGATCCATGAAGAGAATGATTTCGTCCAGACGAAAATTGAACATCGTCCCTGGCGAAGGGTTCACTGACTTATTTTCGTCCAGACGATCCTGATTTCGTCCAGACGAACCATACAGCCAAACATGATTTTCTCTGCACAACCTGTACCGATCGTCCCGGACGATCCGACTTCGTCCGGACGAACCTGGAGCAAAAACTGATATTACAATCTCCCCAACTTAAAAAAAAATGTCGTCCTCGACATTATCCAGTCCAAACTCAGTCAAAACAAGTATGGGTACAACCGTCTCATGTCAGACTCCTTCTCCCAAGTGGCTTCCCGTGCAGTACGGTGCTTCCACTGGACTTTAACCATTGGAATCTGTTTACTTCTTAGCTTTCGTACGTCGTATGCCAAAATCAACTCTGGCTCTTCCTTGTACGTCAGATTCTCCTGAATCTCAACCTCATCAGCAGATACTTTCTTCCCAGAGTCGGATACCCACTTCCTCAGAGTGGATACGTGAAACACATTATGCACATCAGGCATCGAATCAGAAAGCATCAATTTGTAAGCAGCTTTTCCAATCCTTTCCAGGATTTCAAAAGGTCCAACATACCTCGGACTAAGCTTGCTCACCTGACCAAATCTGCTCACACCCTTCATCGGGCTGACTTTGACATACACAAAGTCACCAACCTGAAACTCTACAAATCTGTGCTTCTGATTGTAATACTTCTGCTGTCGATCTTGAGCAGCTTTCAATCTTTCTCTTATCAAATTGATCTTCTGAGCAGTTTCATCAGCAAAAGTGGCTCCCAAAGCCTGCCTATCTCCGACCTCCGTCAGAGTCAAAGGAGTACGGCACTTCCTGCCATACAAAGCTTCGTACGGTGCCATACCGATACTGGACTGAAAACTGTTGTTATAGGCAAACTCAATCAGCGGAATATGATCTTCCCAGCTTCCGCTAAAGTCCAGAACACAAAGTCTTAACAGATCTTCCAGTACCTGAATAGTCCTCTCAGACTGTCCATCGGTCTGAGGATGAAAGGCTGTACTAAAATGCAGTTTTGTACCCAAGCCTTGCTGAATGCCTTTCCAAAGTCTGGAAGTAAAACGTCCATCTCGATCAGATACGATCACACGAGGCACACCGTGCAATCTGACTATCTCTTTCACATATATCTGTGCCAAGCGATCAACTGAATCCGTCTGTCTGATCGGAAGAAAATGGGCTGACTTCGTCAATCGATCTACAACCACCCAAATAGCGTCGTGCCCTTGTCTAGATCGAGGGAAACCCATCGCAAAATCCATCGTTACCTCCTCCCATTTCCACTCAGGGATAGGCAACGACTGCAACAATCCACCTGGTCGCTGATGCTCTGCCTTTACCAACTGACAGGCTTCGCATCTCGACACAAACTCTGCTACATCTTTCTTCATCCCAGGCCACCAGAACAAAAGCTTCATATCAGCGTACATCTTACCACTGCCTGGATGTACAGTGTAGCCTGAATGATGAGATTCATACAGAATCTCCTGCCTCAAGTCTCCAAACACAGGTACCCACAACCTGTTCTTACAGAAAATAGCACCAGAATCAGAAATTCGAAGTTCAGGAGTCTTACCAGATCCAATCTGAGCAATCAACTTCGAATAATCAGAATCTGACTTCTGGGCTTCTTGAATCCTTGTTTCCAAAGTAGACCGAATACTCATCTGAGCCAACTCCAAACCACTGGAGGAAATCACTTCCAACTGCAAACGCTCCATATCACGAATCAGAAAGTCATCACAAGTAAGCTGAATACCTGATAATCCAGAAGACTTCCTGCTCAAGGCATCTGCTACCACATTAGCCTTACCAGGCTGATACTGAATAGTCAAATCATAATCTTTGATCAACTCGAGCCACCTTCTTTGTCTCAGATTCAGATCCTTCTGAGTAAAAATATACTTCAGGC